TAACTAGGCAAACGGTTTCCAAAATGAAAATGCAGGCCAGTGGCAGTATTCTATGAGCCAAAAATAAAGGTCTACATGACTCCCTCGAATCGGCTTTGCACATATATCTTAGTGCTCTTTTTTGGAGAATAAAAACTCTAAGGAATAAATAGTTTGCGCACAAGCCCCAAAAGCAAATACCATAGCGTAGGTGCGATTCAATGCAGTTAGACCTAATTCATTGGATGTAACTCGTACGGCATAACAGCCAGACGCTAGCTTTTTAGCCAAGTTTAAAATGTGCCCTTCAAATTTTAGTTTGGCGTCAATATTCAATCCCAAGAATTTATGTGTAGCTTTGATGCTAAGACAGTCATTATCGAGAAATACATTGTTGATAACGCTCTTAAAGTTGATTATACCTGTCTTAGAGGTGTTGAAAGACAATAAGTTGGCGTCGCACCATTTTTTAACTTTGTTCAGGTCCTCATTGATGATGTCTTCTAAAATTACGTTATCAGTACCATGCCAGAGGATGGTCGTATCGTCTGCAAATATTGTGAATTGTCCATGTATGTCGACAAGTGTTAGGTCATTCACATATAATAAAAATAGCAGGGGTCCCAGTACAGAGCCTTGCGGTACTCCGTGTTTGAGAGCCAGATGCTTCGAGTTCACATTTGATCATTTTTTTTATTTCTTAAATAGAATCACCACTCAAATACCTTCCAATTAGGTGCTAAAATCATAACACCACGATAATTTTCAAACGGATAAAAATTTGCCGCGAGTAAAAACTAAAAAAGTAGGGGCAGAACATAGCACAGTTGCGATGTGTTGAGATACGATTGGATATTTCAGAAATATTAGTTATTCAAACAATAATAAATACTCAACTATGGTTATATTCCTATTTAGCAATACGAAATCGATTGTCTCGACATGTTCCCATATAATTTGTGGCAACAAACAAATTTTATTGCTTATTTGAAGCGGTGAACGTGACAACACGGCGCGCACGACTTGTGGGCGTGGTTTTGTTCCTTCTCAGCATTAAGCACGATGTTGACCAGGCTCCAACATTTAAATAATATTTTGTTATGGAGTATAAGAAATACTTTCCTTGCTAATGCCACGCAGAACATTGCATCGACTCGTATAAACGAATACTGATACAAGTGATTCTTTCCTGAATGCCTATTGACTCCGATTTAGTCAAGCCACGCTAGACACCATCAGTCTTAGGTGGTCTTAGGACTGCTGGCTGGAGACTGTCCTGCTCATTTTTCAGGTACACAAACCATTTCTATAGGAGTGCCACAGGGCAGTGTGCTTGGTCCCTTATTGTTAATCCTATATGTAAATGATCTAGGTAATGTTGTCAAGTGTCCTTCTATGAAATTAACAAATTATGCAGATGACACAAACATTCTGATTGCTGACAAGTGTTTTGAAGAATTAAGTCGAAAAACTGTAGAAGTTACTTCTCAAGTCTATCACTAAAACAAATTGCATCCTCTTTAGACACAGCAGAAACTCAAAGATTTTTCCAGAAAACATAAATTTGAATAATAGTGCTATTTCATATGCCAACTCTGCGAAATTTCTTGGCGTGACCATTGATAAACATATGGGATGGGTAGACCATGTATGACTGCTCTGTGGTAGACTCAGTAAGGCCAGTTATGCTTTGGAAGCACTGAGGACAGTTGTAGATCACGATGCTCTCAAGGCAGCTTACTTTGGACATTTCTGGGGTGGTTCACATAGTCAAGAAGTATTTGTGATTCAAAAAAGGTCAATTCGTATTCTGGCTAACTTGAAAACTTCAGAATCTTGTCGTGGATATTTTAAAAAACTCAATTTTTTGACATTGCCTGGTGCATATATCCTTGAATGTGTCAATTTTGTATACAAAAACAAACATATATTCAATGATTCCTTACATAATCATTCTCACATTATGAGACGGAAAGAAACATTGTCATTTCCACTACATAAGACATCCCTTTTTGAGAAAGGTTGTTATTATCAGTGCTTGAGGTTCTATAATATGCTCCCAAATGATATATCTAACAAATCAAAACCTTCACTAGTTTCAAAAAAACCATGAAATCTATATTAGTCACAATAGAACCTTATAAAATAGAGGATATCAATGAAGCAATTATATCCCTTTGTCACAATAAGGGAAGATAAGGAAATTATGTACATCTCTCAGAGGCTTCTTGATTTTTATAATTATTTGTATTCTACTGTATGTATTTGACTTGTATTAAACATAATGTAATGTTCTGTCCCTAATACTAAATGAATTCTATTCTATTCTATTCTATTCTATTCTATTCTGATGAGAGTCAAAGATCTCGAAATCGGTCTGTAGGTGTCTAGCGTGGCCTGGATAAATCGAAATCAATAGGCATCCAGGAAAGAATCACTTGTGTCAGTATTCGTTTATACGAGTCGATGCATAGATTTCGGGAGGATGTAATTCAATGTTCTGCGTGGAATTAGCCAGGAAAGTAGTTGTTTTTCTCCCGAAATCTACAATTGTTGTTTATTTTATGAACATTGTGTGGATATAACTCTGAGCTTTTTGTATTTCCACTTTGAGCATTGTGGCTATTTCGTAGTTGAAATTATGCTAGTCGGAATATAATGCCGACTTGATTTTTGTTTAGATAGGCTACTCTTAGTCGGAGGTCTTAGGACTGCTGGCTGGAAACTGCCCTGCACTGACGAGAGTCAAAGAGCTCGAAACCGGTCTGTAGGGGTCTAGCGTGGCCTGGCTAAATCGAAAGCAATAGACATTCAGGAATGAAACACTTGTATCAGTATTCGTTCATACGAGTCGATGCATAGTTATGGGGAGCATATAATTCAATGTTCTGCGTGGCATTCGCGAGGAAAGTAGTTTTTTTTCCGAAATCTACTATTGTTGTTCATTTTATGAACATTATTGTGTGGATATGACTTGGAGCTTTCTGAATTTTTTCGTATTCATTTATTTACTTTATGTTTCAACTCGTTATCACCGAAGTATATCCAAAATAATCACTCAGATCAAGGGGTGGCATATATGTAGGTTTCTGGTATGCCTATTCTTCATCCCGTTATCAAATTGCGGAATTTAGTGCAAATTACCGCACAGGAAAGTGCCATTTTTCAATAATTTTGCTCAGGATAGTGATTGGCACAGGTGTCGTTCGATAACATACAATGTTTTTACAGTCGGACTTTGCAGTCGGCTCTTGGACTATATTTGTCGTTGAAACATTCTCTGCTCTATATTTTCACTGGGTGTGTAGAAAAACCCAATCCAGTTGGTTCACTTCCATTATTGACATGCTGTTGACGCATGTAGTTGTCTATAGTTGATTCCAAGACGATTAACTTATACTTAAGTATATCGAATTAATATTCCATAATCAATAAATCAATCAATAAGTGCATCAGATTAGAGTTTTGCATATCACGTAGGCGAAACTCTTACGTAGGTACTGAGACCGGACCGAGTTATGTGTTTCACAGTGGATTTTTGTTATACAGTGTGTCCCACTTACCATGCTCACCATGGGTATCTTTTTAACGGTGAGAGATACGAGGTCGGTTAAATCACACCAAATGTGGAGTTTGTCAAGGCCAACTATAATGTGAAAAAATATTTTGATAAAATTTATTCGTTTTTGATTTATACGCAAAAAACAGATTTTGATCATTTTCATGTCTCCTCCGTAACTGTATTTGGGAAAGAGAAATGAAGGTATATTATCTGATTTGTACTCACTTTTGGACGTTTCGGGAACGAATCTGCTTCCGTTTTTTTTTTGTATTGCAAATTCGTATTCGTCCTGACACTTTTCAGTTCTCAGTGGGAATTGGTGACGTTGGCAATCAGATGAGTTACAGGATGTTTTCCTTAATTAATCTTGGATTTACCATTTTCATTATCAGATTTCAATAGTGAATACCATGGTCTATCCATGTCTATCTATATCAACGGAACAGGAAGCAATGCTATTGTTTCCGCTCAGAAAAATGCAAGCAGATTCCTTGATTTTTCTCTTTATAAAAGAATTATAAATTCTCTGTTCTCTCCCAATAATTCAAAAACTAAAAATGACTCATGAAATTTCCTAGTAGATAATTGTTCAACATAAAAATGCGCAACTTTGCCCTAACCAACAAGACAACAAAACAAAAAATGCTAAACATACCCTTTTGTAGGTATGATGGAAACCAAAGGTTTATTAATGTGATAGGACCAAAACTTTACAATACTTTACCCTCAAGTATCAAAAAAATTAAAAACGCTAAAAACTTTTCTAGAGCAACTAAAGAGTTCATAAATAACGAACGATAATACAATACTTTAACAGCTTTACTATAGAATACTCCATAACAATACTGTATGTACAAATGTACTACTGTACAAGTTTCTACTTGAAATCTTTATAACAAATTTTCATTCAAATTTTTACAGACAGTATTTAATGAATTGTTACTATTTTTATATCAATTTTTATTTTTTTTGTCATCATATTACCTATATGTAAACTTTCTTTCTGCGCATACAGGTGCTCGCACCTAGGCGCAATTACTTAGGATAAACATACAATTTATATGTAAATTAACAAACAATTGTAAAAGAAATGATTTGAATGAATAAATGAAATGAAATATAACCGACCTCGTATCTCTTATAATAAAAACGGGCATTGTATTATCTTCTTAATATTGATTCGTCCTTTTTTGGTCACAGGAATAAATAGTGTATTATATACGAAAAAATATCAAATTTTTTTGTCTGAGTGCATAAAAAATTGCATCGTCACTAATATTCATTTGGTTGGTATATTACACATTACACTTATCTCAAAGTCAATCCGGGTCCTATATACAGACTGTAGATCATCAAATGAAAGGCGATCCCTTTTTTATAATTTTATTCAGGCCAACATTCAATATTATTGTCACAAAAACGTCAAAGGTGCCAATAATGGTGCTGATCGGTATACGGGCTACTTCTGACGGGTCTCATTATTGGGAGAGGTTCTTCTCGAAGAAGCTGGCGTTCGTTTGGGAGATCTGCTGCTGTCTGATGCATCAGGAGATGGAGAATTATTCCCTTTTCCGGAGGCCTTGAGGCGAACCTTTGTGTCCAAATGCCGAAATCTGCAACGAGTTTCAAGTGAGTCTTTCGTAGCGAAACCCATTAGATACTAGCGTTCCATATAAGGAACACATAAACTTTCAAGCTCTAAACGCGACCAAATATATTTCCAATAGCAAATTTTTCCCAGGCAAATATTTTTATATCGTATAACACCTACATCTACCACTGAGTCATACTCAGCTACTTGATAATACCTCTAGCTCGATTCAGAATATTAAATGACCATCGTTTTTACTGTAAACGTTTGAAATCTCGGGCCGTGAAGTATGTAAGGTCATAAATTTCTCGAATATTTCGTATGTGATTATGAATAACTTATGTTATAACATACGGATTGTGTTGTCTGTAATAAACAATGGGAATTATATTTTATATCTGATTAGATTTTCGTCATCGTGTTCCTTATATGGAACACTAGGCTTGTAGGATGCTGAATGTGTTCATAGTTTGTCAGTCCAAGACCATCATTCAACGTATTGATGACCAACCAGAAGACAAAACAAGTGTGTCATTTAAATTTCATTTCGATAATTCATCCACTTCCGTGAAATTGCTTCAACTTCTGATGCAAAGGCACTATGATGGTTCTGGCACAGAGCAAGAAAATAGGATTTCTCGTTATTGTCCAATATCTGAGGATGATAAATAAAGAGAAAAAACTTGGTGAATTTCATTACGCCTTATGTTCTACGGTGATGCATCAATGGGCGTGTACACCTTAGTAGAACCATGTTTTTAATGATCCTTTTATACATAAATAATGATTGACGACATAATTCGATCGAAAAATTAACTGGAATGTTTTATTTTTGGACATAAATAATAGTACCTTCTGAAAACGGACCCTCTTATGACGTAGAAACCTCCAAGTTCCACAATTTAACGAAGTCATCGGCAAGACCTCCAACATATTCGACAAATTCCAAGATAAATCGAGATATTCGCATTGACTGTAGAAATCACCAAGTTGAACATGTACCGAATAATAAACGCCGACGATGTCTAGGACACAATCATCAGGCAGCTCTGTTCGCAAATAGTGTCGAAAATGCGACGTATGTCTATTTATTGACTATTGAATTATTTTTTTATGAAATAACCCCATTTATTTTCGAATTATGTTAATATAATACATTTCAAGATGGAGACAAGTCTCAATATTTCATTCCATTTTCCACATGTTGAAGAACTAGTGTTCCATATATGGCACTGCCGCCATTTCGAAAATGGCAGACAAAAGGGAATGTATCTCGATTAACTGATGTTCATAATATACAGCAATAAAGAAAATATGTTGAAATTTTCGCAAATGTATCAATTCAGTCCCTAATGGGTTATTAGGAAAAAGCGTTTAGCTCATTTTTCCACTGAAATTAGGATTTTGATATGAAATAATTTTTGTACCTCCTCGCGTACTAGGTCGCCTACTAGGTATCCATTTAGATCGACAATATTTTTAGTGTGTTTTCTGGTATATAATGAGTTTTCGACAAATATACCTATATACAAAATGAAAGATGAGATAAAAGCAGACAAAAAAATTACATAAATTTTTTTTGTCTGAGGAATATTTTCAATGATGAGAAATTCAAGAAAATTTGCCGGATTAATCTCATCTAAAACTGGAATTCTGGTGTCACCCTCGGTTTGTTATTCCGATCGATCATCTTCAATCGGGTCTGTCTTTGAGTTGTCGTCTTCGACCACAACAGGTTATCACTGCATTACCCATCCCCAATCCAAATGATTATCTTGGTCTTCGTAGTAGAGTGAATTTTCCGACATCAATGTATACGTATATGTATATAAAAACCTATAAAATCATGCATGATATCCTTCGAGTCCATTAAAATTCCCAAAATAGAATTTGATATCTTTTTTATATGTAAACCCTATGTTTCACAAAAATCATCAAAACACAGTTTTTTATTTTATCTGAAATTTCAACGTTTATCATGAAAAATATTGCTCAGCCAAAACAATTTATCGGACTCTTTCGTGTAAGATTATCTCATCTCTCATTTTATATTTGTCGTAAAATCAATATTCACTGAGAAAAATCATTAAATCCGTTTTTTAGCATCTTTAGAGCGTTCCCAAAAGCAAAGTTTACAGAATTAAGCGTACACGCTATCGTATTGTATACCCGAAAACACACAAAAACCTTTTGTATGAATTATTCCGCAGTTTGGCATTTTTTTCTACTAATTTCAGTGGACTACATAGAATGTTGATTGTGGAGATAAAACATATATTATATTGTATTGATATTTCCCAGAGAATTAGAATTAGAAGACTCGACTCAGTATTGAAATGAAAATTGAAATGTATAGGAGAAGTATATATACTTGTATAAACTCTGAACATGTTGGTGAGTTATATTTTTATATCATAATACATCATATTATTTCATCCGATTAGAGAGATAAAGTCAATTCTCGATTTCAGAGGATTTTCATTTTTTATGCTCTCTTTTCGGATTTTCAACAGATATAATTCAATGTTCGACGTGACAAATAGCCAGGAAAGTAGTTGTTTTCTGTTGAATAGACCGAGAAAGAATTGTTTTTTCATCACATAGAGAATGCGAATTCTCAATGTATTTCTTAATATATATATATATATATCAATTTTTTTATGTTCATAATTATATCTGACAATATTCTCTTCCAATACTTTCCCCCAATCAAGGGGTTCAAACTTGAACGATAAAAACTTGTTACTTTTATGAATCTTCAATCGCAGATTCATGATTAGGTTTTCAAAATTCAGAATTTCTTTCCACGTCCTGTATGATGAATATCAATTCAACATACATCCAAAAACATAATTAAAAATAAGAAGGTTTTTTATTGATATCTTGAAACGCTTGAGAGTTGAATGAAATTTTCATAGTTCATTTAAAGAATTATCAGACATTTACTATGGACCATTAAACAGATAAGGACGTAAATTCCTGTATTTTCGATGGTATTTGAAGAACAAACGAATGAGCAAAGATCGGCAAATATTTGACGTATTCCCAATGATATTCCTATTCTATAACTTCCAAATATTCAAACAGAATACCAATACCTACCTACCTGAGTATATGTCTGTATGCCACCTAAATTAACACGATTCACGATTCACTTCGTTACATTTTCATTTTTCCTTGTGGAATTCAGAGATGTAAGGTAGTGTCCCTATTTCTCGAAAACAAAGTAAAACACAGTGGGCTTATCTGAATAATCAAGAATAACAAAAATAACAGGGTGAATTTTTTTCGAGTTTCTTTTTCACCAAAAGAATGCCGGCAAGTTCGGTGGGTACGCCCCTTGATGGTCTGGATCAAATCTAATTGGACCAGTAGATGTCTGATAATTGCGTAAATCAACCATACAAATTTCAATCGAATCGCCTTGAGCGTTCTGAAGATATTGATAAAAACTTTCCCTTTAACTCGAGAACGAAGTATTTTCAGAAACACGCTCATGTGAACTATTTTCATTGTTGTTGAAAGGAATCTTCCCTAAGCTTTTTCCATCACAACTTTGAAACACCCTATATATGAGAATCCTCAAATTGTCACCAAAAACTCCATTGTTAACAAACTTTAATAATCACACATGATTAATGAAAACAATAGCATTTTGTATAAGTGTAATCCTTGTTGAGTAGGTATTTCGTATATTATCTGATTTATTGGAGATACAGGTACACAATAATTAGGATAATTATCTATTTTACCTTATTGGAAGATCACTAGTGGTTCCATCCTCTGTTATCCCTTGGAATAAGAAAGCTAAAGGCCAACTGATCCAAGATGCGCTTCTGCAATAAATACCAGAAAATTGTTTGAAATAGATTTTGCAATACAATAATTATTATCAATCTAGCGCTAGCGTATTACGATCAACAAAAGTTACATTCGCATCTACCATTATTATACCTGATTATCATCAATCACAAGGACGTTCGCAGATAATTTTGGAGGAGTTGAAACTATTTTTCATATCCCACATCCGAATCTGAACTGATCAACACTCAACAATCAGTTGAATCATTTCATTGTTACATCTAATGGGGAATTTTCCAATATTCAGATTTGAACCATTTTTAAATACGTATCGGTTGGTCACAAAAAACCGGAAGTTTTTATTTTCCTCGTGGTTTCATCATTTCTCAACCGAATTCGAATTTCTTGGCGTCGTTTCATAGCTAAAGGGCTAGAGTATATAGTGGAATATTTGGAAATTTCATAATGAACAAAAACAGAATGGCGGATTCTACCAAAGTATTGTCATTTACAGAAACCGCTGGAGAAAAAAGAAATCAGATTTTTTGTAACCTGAACCGATGTCATCTTAAGCTATTTATTTCTGAAGAGAATGAGTACTCGAACATCGAAATCGAACAAATAGTCCAGTAGTTACACTCATTTCTTTGCAATTTGTTATGGAGTGAATGTGCTAATCTCGTGTAAACGATTATTATTATTTTGCTTCAGGCTTCATGAAAATTCAATCAAATTTGGATTTCTTAGAGTTATTTCAAAGATAAAGAACTGTAGTACATAATGGAACATTCCAAAAACCAATACTTGAAAGAAATAAAATGGTGGAGAATCCAGAATTTTTGTGATTTTCGAAAATCTCTGGCGAATAAAAAAAATTTTTTTTCTGTGACGGGAAAAAAGTTTGGCATTTCATCTCTGTTGGCAGGTTATAAAATGTCACTTTTCATAAATTACTTTTTTCCCGTGGGAAAAAAGTGAGTACTTTTTTCCCGGATATATATCACATATATATATATACTCTGTTAATGGCTTTTGTTGTGCTATAGTTCCGAAAAATGAGTCAATAATACCGTCTCCGAGAAAGAACTGCAAGTCCTTTTATCTTCCATTCGACTTCGCGGTTTCGTATATTACTAAACAACTACTGAATTCGCAATTTTTTAAAATCAAATCACAGAATTGAACTGACAGAAGTGACATCAGATATTTGATAACTTCAAAAGAATGATAAAGATGCCTATAAAACGCAGGTGTCCCTCCTGTTAAAAACTTGAAATTTCACGTCGATAATTTTCAGATTTCGAAATAATGTAATATCTTCTCAATGTTGATTCGTCCTTCCTTCTGTCACAGAAAAAAATAGTGTATTATACACGGGAAAAATATTAGATTTTAGCTCACGGTTTTTTGTCTCCCTCCGCTACGAGTCGGGAGACAACACAACCTGGAGCTAAAATCTACTACTTTTTTCCCTTGTATAATAAATAACTATATTCTTCCAATCAGGACCGATACAATTTTAGATCATTGATTTCTGAAAAGAATGAGTACTCGAACATCTGAATCGAACGATAAGTCCAGGAGAAACACGTTCTTTTTGGCAAAGTGTTATGGAGTGAAATCCAAATTCGATCGAATTCTGATAAAGCCAGAAGCAAACTAAAAGTAATTCTTATCACGGGATTGGCACATTTTTTCCGAGTGTTGAGCAGTTCAATCGGTCATTTTCTGTTTGATAGGTAATTTGAAAAAATAATTATCATTGTAATCATATATCAAAAATTATTAAGTCACGAGCTCCCACAATATACAGGGTTATGATAAAGTAATGCACAAAATTCATGAAACGTACAACGATCACTTTTGAAAAAAATACAAAAACACGTCAAACTGTTCTTTTTATTCCTCATCTTTTGACATAAGTTACAAAAATAACACGTAAAAGTTGTCAAAGTTATGACGTCATCAACAAATTTTTGTAATGGGAAGCTAAGATTTTTATTACATTATGTGAGCCCTACTGCAACTATTTTTCCCTTGTGTAAAAACACAAGTTCTATCACATAATGTTATAAAAATCTTAGCTTCCCATTAAAAAAAATTGTTGATGACGTCATAACTTCGACAACTTTGACGTGTTATTTTTGTAACTTATGTCAAAAGATACGGAATAAAAAAAACAGTTTGACGTGTTTTTGCATTTTTTTCAAAAGTGATCGTTGTACGTTTCATGAATTTTGTGCATTACTTTATCATAACCCTGTATATAGGTATTGTAGTATCGTTCAAAAACGTATCGGATTTTAGTTTCTCCATATGCAAACGTCCTCTTGATTGAAATGTTTACCTCCTTAGTGATAGTGAATTCGTTATTGGTTTCATATTATTTCCAAATCTGAAATCAAAGTCGAATGATTGAATGAATCGTTATAAAATCGGATTAAAATTACATAGTGTAGTTTCATAAATCAAAGAGAATGATTCGAAATGATAATTATCCAATAGAGCATAATAACTATTATTTAGACGTAACCTTGAACTTGAATGAATCATTCGAGGAATTCAGTTCGTTCAGAGATGGTGATGATGTATTTTATTATAATACTCAAATTGATTCCAACCAGTTTTCCTATTCTGGTCCAACGGTTTGCTTATTTTCAGGGGGAATCCCTTCGATTCTGCATATCTGATGATAGCCGGTCATCATCAAGCAAATCCAGTCAGGTAACATTCATTAAAAACATAACTTTCTCTTTAGAATGTGACGGGAAAAAAGTTCGACATTTTATCTCTGTTGGCAGGTTGCAAAATGTAATTTTTCCTAAATTACTTTTTTCCCACACCCTGTTGACAGCTTTTGTAGTACCCGAGAAACTAAGCCGCAATAACACCGTCTACCAGAAAGAACTGAAAGTCCTTTTTATTATTAAGCAACCACTAAGTTCCCCGTTGTTTTCAAATCAAAACACAGAATTATATTAACACACATGTTCGATTACTCCAAACGGTTTCCATAGCAACAAAAGTATGTCTACAAATTCATGCCTGCAACACAGGTAAAACTACCAGTTGAAAATGTTCAAATTCACATCGATAATTTTCAGATTTTATTATAATGTACCCTGATAGCACACAACGTCCTAGGGACGTCCCTATTTGGTACAATGTCCTAATGTCCCGGACCAAAAATGAGTGTCCTTGGGACGTCCCATCCCATACATTTCATGCCATGTCCGAGCAAGGACGTCCACAGGATGTCCCAGCTGATACATCATTTCAAATGTCCTAGAAATAGCATCCCTTAGACGTCCCACGTGGTACATATTGTAAAATGTCCATGCAAGGATGTCCTTGGCATGTCCCTGATGGGATATGATTTTAAACGTTCCTTTGGGACATCCATCGGATGTCCCGAGTAGTACATATATTCTGGCATGACTTCAGATCTTATATAATGTCCCTTCTAGACAACCATAAAATGTCCCTGATAGTACATTCCTTCAAATATCTCTGCACAGACGCCCTCAATATTCCCAGGATCGTATAACAATCGAAATGTCCCTTAGGGAAATTGTTCGAATGTCCCTTAGGAATATCCGTCGGATGTCCCAATTGGTACTTATCCAATGTCCTAGATATAACGTCCTACGGACGTCCCGGTCGGTACTATAAATATGTTGTCCCTGCGAGGACGTTAACTTACACCTCACCGACGAATGATTGCTCGTAGGCTATAGATACTCCCCGTCAATGTCCTTCCATTGGACATCCTTGGAAAACTTTTTCAGGATTTATTGGGGACCTTCTACGGCCTCTTAACTCAACTGGATGTACTCATCAGTTATGCAAGATCCGGTCCTAGAGGGACCCAGAAAAATTCAAATTCAAGAATGATTCGTACGTCCCTGGGACATCCTATGGACATCCAATTGAGATCCCTCAGCGTTGCTGATAGGTGGTCCTACGGATGTCCTCCGTAGTGCTTGATGAGGAATACTGAAGGATTTAGGTGATCGATAGTTGTCCGAGGGACTCCTTCGAGGACGTTCCTAGTTGGTCCGCAAGTGGGACGTTTGTGCGTCCCCCAGACGTCCAATGGACGTCCACGGTACCAAATTCGAACGTCCTATGGACGTCCTGAATGTCCCGACAGGACGTCCTATGGATATCCATGGGACATAATTGTGTTATTAGGGTAATATCTCCTCAATATTTCGTTTTTTTTTGTCACAGAAAAAAATAGTGTATTCTACACGAGAAAATATTAGACTCAAGTTCTCGGTTTCTTGTATCCCTCCACTACGCGTCGGGTCTTTTATAGTCGAGTTTGCAAATTTACAGCCGAGGCTAGCAATCATGCGAGACAATAGACATTAGATTAGAGAGTTGAAGTAATCACTGTACGTAGACCTCCACGTAGACGTTAACGTACGGAAAATAACGTTTACGTATTGTCATTAAATTGAGTTGAAGTCTCCACTTTGGTCGTCACTGTCATCATAACGTAATAATACATTTTGTTTTCGGTTTGTATTGGTCATTTTCGGTTGTGTGTTTAGATTCGAACATTTATTCCTGTCAAAATAAGAGGACTCCGTGATGCAGAACTCGTTGGTGATCTCGGATTTGATAATTTTGACTCATAGGCATATTTCGAGTATAGTTTGGTTAACGTACGTTGATATTTAAGGTATACGTGAAGGAACGTGAGATAACGTACACCCGTGATCCCACTAACAACGCAAACGTGAAAAATTGGAAAATGCGCATGCGTAGCTGTCAATTTCTACGTTTACGTTAACGTTCATGACAACACTTCAACTCTCTAGTTTTTCGCCGAAGTGCATATTACATTTTTTCGTCGACCTCAAACACTTTCATTCACTCGCATTCACATTATGGTCCTGTTCACACGTGAATTCTATCGGATTTCGTGAATAAATAATTTGTTGTTGTCAACTCTCTCTCTGCGCGACCAAGGTTGCCTGTTCAATTTTTATTCCATTGGGAAAAAACCTCGTCAAAAATTCAGTAGATTTCAATAGATCTGTTTAAGATCTATTTTATGCTATACGAATAATTCTAATTCTATGGCTCTATAACAAAGAATTGCTCTTGTTTTATTGTGTTCGATGAATCAAGGACGTACGTTGTATGTCATCAATTTTGATTCAATATCTGCTATCACCATAATGACTCGATTGTAATATTCTTTCACAAAATTAATCTCCCATGAAATATCAAATTTCAAGCAATGACATCTCTGTCTTATAGATGAGCATTACTTAGGAGAAATTCAGATGGCTACAAGCCGGAGATGTAAGCAATTTCGCTGTTATCTGTTACAGCCGTGGAAAGAGTATAGTGAATAACTCGCAAGAATGCTAATTTCCCACTCGTATGATTTGCAGCATTCGCCTACGGCTACGGCTCATGCAAACAACATAGCTACTTCATCATCATTTTCGAAGATTGATATTCGTATCGTTTTGGATTTCGCAGAAGGTTATTTTAGTTTATATACTACGAAAGAATATAGGTTCTCTCTTCATCTTCAACTTCTTCATCCCCACTATTTTTCATTTGTTCGTGAATGGTTTTCATTTCAATCCATAGAATTTCTGGTACCTACCATTTTGAGTAACTTCATGCAATGTAAAAAAAATTAATTGTGACTTCAGAGCGGTATTTTGTACAACCGAAGCAATTTTATGGAGATGTAATTTGACTTAAATCGAACGTTTGTTGATGAAGGTCAAAGAGTTCGAAACTAGAGATGGATCCTGAAACTTCAATTCATTAAATGATCTCTATCACGATTGATAAAAATTCTTACGTTCTTCAGTTCTCTACTTTTTGTGGCATGTTTAAGAAGTCTCAGAGTATCTATAGTGATAGGGTGGCGAATAAATAGTCTCCAGGATAAGTTGGGCAACACTTGGATCATCAAACCGTTTATATCTGAATGGAACAATATGTTCTTTCAATCGTGTACCAATGCTTCGACGTGCTTGCCCAATATGTTTCGTGCAAAAGTCATTGAAATGTTTCTCATAAATACCTCATTCATCATTATATACAATTTTATCTCAAGGGTTCCTACATAGAAGACTATGAGTGGTATATCTTGTAGTAAAAGCTACTTTCAGCCCTTCCAATTTAAAAATTCTATCCAAATTATTATCACAGTTGAGAGAATATTACATTTCTCTCAACTGTGTTATTATTGACATCATGTAGGTACCAAATCACTCGCAACATTGAAAACATACAATCACAGCTTCGAATTTTTCGGTCGATAGCTTATAATCCTTTTCAGTATTTGAAGAGAGGTATACCAACTAGTTAATAGTAGATTGTTTTATTAGGATCAAAAGTGACACTTTGTTTGACAAGCGAATTTTGCATTTGCGAGGCGGAGCGTTTAGCGAAGCCAAGCGAAAGCAAAATTTGCGAGGCGAACAAAGTCACTTTTGATCCGAATGAAACATGCTATTTTTTCTGAAACCGAAACAATTAACTCAAATAAACATGTGAAGTAACCCACCAATGCCGTGCCATATATTGTATGCAATGCAACAAATATTGACAAATAATCCATGTGGTGAGACTATTCTACCTGCATTAACAGCAGGTTAGGTTTTCTAGGATGTTCGAATTGTAGTTTCAATATGAATACAACCACAGAGTGACATATTTGTGTATGGACCAGGAGATACTCTAATGGCAAATACCGCGCCAGTGCCAGCTATAGGAACAAGACGTGGAAAATGTTAGGTTAGTGAGCATATCAACAATGATAATAGTGATTATTTATTCCTCTCCATACTACACTATGTTTGACTTGATAATCAAATGAAGCTAAACAATATCGTTGTTTGAGACAAAAAAACTATTGCTTGCCGTGATTATTCAAAAACAAGTTATCCATCTCGAGAATAACGAATGAACTATAGATCAAGCAAGTATTTGAATCTTGAAGGCTTCCCTGATCAACACAAAAATACTCAACTGAGACGTTTATAATTCCAATACTAAACTATAATAAGGTGTATTTATATCTCCAGCATGGGTATGAAATGCCAAATCTGCTGAAATCGGAAACAAATCAGGTATGCGTCTCAACCCAAATAACCAACTGTCACAATGTTGCTTATTCTAGATGACGTCCAGTAGATCCTTTTTAGTTCCTAGGAGCTGAAGTTCAACTTTAGCTCCTAGGAACTAAAATTCAACTTTAGCTCATAGGAACTAAATATGTTGCCTAGCAACATAGGTACCTATTTTGTGTCAGTAATAGAAACGTCAATTCAAGAGCTAATTTTGGTATCAAAATGGACGACTTTTGTGTCGGTTGCAGAAAAACATTTTTACGAAGTCTAGTTCATCATTGAACAAATTTGAACAACTCGAAGTGGGTATTTCATGAATTGGTGTGTAAATATGAGCAACTTGAAAACATCACCAATCGGTAAAGAATGTATTTCATGGCCTGTGAAGAACATAGAGAGCCTGTCGGCAATAAAGTATCACTTTACGTCCCCCTAAGCAGGCAATAAAGTGCCAGTTTACGTCCGCTCAGGTAGACGATGAAGTATTACTTCACCTCTGCTCAAGCAGGCGATAGAGTGTCACTTCACATCCGCTCAAACAGGCAATAATGTGCCACTTTACGTCCGTTTAAGCAGGCGATAAAGGGTCACTTCACATCGGGTCGCGCGAGAAACACTCACAGCGGCGGTTGGACGGTGACGTTTCCGTCAGGCGACCCGGGCGAGTCTATCTGTTCGGTGAGATGCCGTCTCGTGGACGGGGTCGACTTGGCGATGGACGGGTTGTAGATCTTCGGGTCACTCACCATACGCACGAAGAAGCTGCGCTTGTGCGCCAGCGTCTCCTTTTTCTTCCGCTCCAGCAAGTCGAACACCTCGTCGTGAAGCTCCTGGAAATCGATACGGGGTGTTTGAAAAAGAGGTATTCGCGAAAATCAGAAAGAGTGCGGCCTCTGGTGTCCAACTTTAAAACATTTTCAGAGGGTGATCAACAGACCAATTCAGAGATTTTATAATTGTTTCAAGCGGACTTCTTTTGTACGAAGGAGCTGAACGGACATGACGAAATTGTTATTTATATTCACAAGATTTATCTGTCGGTGAAGCTTATTGTAGGATCGATATACTAATTTGGATTCTTCAATTAAGATAATTGCAACATCGATCTGGCAATTAGTACTCATATTATTTGACAGATCGATCTTGCAATTCAGCTTAATGGTCGGTTGCAATTAAGCTTATAAATTGCCCGTGAGTTCAAGTGGAAACCTGAAAACCTTTTTGAGAAATAGTTATCTATTAAACAAGGGGAAAAATTAGTAGATTTTAGCACCAGATTGTGTTGTCACAAAACCGTTAGGTAAAATCTATTATTTTTCCCGTGTATGATACCCTTTTTTTTACTGTGACAGGAAAAACTTCGAATCAATTTTGAGGAGATATTACATTATCTTGAAATCAAAAAATCATCGACGTGAAACTTGAAGTTTTTAACAGGAATGACACCTGCGTTTCAGGCATCACCTTTCAGGCATCTCCATCATTCTTCTGGAGTAATCAAATATCTGTCAGTCTAATTCTGTGATTTGATTTTGAAAAATTGCGAGTTTAGTGGTTGTCAGGGCCGATCCTAGCGGGTGTGCAGCGCGTGCCCCGCACGCGGGCGGCCAAAACAAGGGGCGGCCGCAGGCCGCATATTGTCCTATCAAACAAAATTATTTGAAACTCATAAGTCGAATGAATATGCTGCATTTTGAATAAATAAAATGATAGTAAATAGTGTGTTGGTCCATTGTCAATTAATGTCTACTTTTTATACACATTCTTATCTTCCCAAATTTTAAATTTCTATTTGAAACAATAACCAAGGGGCATATTTTTCAGACGCCTAAGGATGTTTTGTTCCATCACTGTGCGTTAGCTTATTTATGCATTTCTACTACTTACTAAGAGACTATGAGAGAAAATCCCAAAAAATCTGTTAAACTACAGACACCATTTAAAATACTTTTCACTTGCTCTTCTTATTGTTCTTATTTTCAGATTCCAGATCATTTTAAATCAATTACAATAAACTGTAATATACTAATGTGATGAATTTGAATCCCAACAAAAATTTCGCCTGCGGCGCATTTTTTGCCATAGGAAAATTTTGTTTGAGTTTCTTGGCCGCTCCCGGTATGCACTGAAATGGAGTTATTACCTGAAAGCATTTGACCTTGAACTCAGAAAAAATTCGCCTGCGGCGCATGAAGATTTTGCCTACATTTTTTTTTCTGTGTTTTACTTCTTATCCTTGTAGAAGTAGTTGAAGTTATGAAGTCATCAGGTATTATAGTTAGAAAATATGAAAAATTCTCTAGAGGGGCGGCACTTTAGGTTTATGCACGCGGGCGGCCGACACCCTAGGATCGGCCCTGGTGGTTGTTTGGTAATTTACGTAACCGCGAAGTCGAATGGAAGAGAAAAGGACTTTATAATACAACAAAATCCATCAACAGTGTGTATACAGGATGTCCCACTAAGGCTGGCGAGGTACGATAATATGGAAACCATATACAGTACAGCTTCGGGAAAAAATCTATCAAGTTACTATAATACAAAGAGAAATCCGAATTATCTCAGAAAATCGCTGTGTAACGTAACTTTTTGATAACGGAAATGAAAAGATCATTAATTTATCGTCGTTTTAATTTCTAGACTTTTTTCTTTAATAATAATGGTGATGTAAGCTTGTGAACAATCTATTTTTCAAATTTCTGTATTTTTCAAACCCCTTATCCAAATTCAATCAACTTGGGCTCGTTAGAGATATAATTTCACAGTAATTAAAAAGTGACTTCGTTTACGGTCGCTAATTTATACCGCGCCTCATAGAGGACATCGTTTACCGAATTCTCGATTTTTTCAAATTTTCTCGAAAAATTCGAATGGAATGATACTAGTTTGAATCATTAATCTTGACTACCATGAAAACAGCTTTGGATAAATGGTTTGGAAGATACAGCAATTTGAAAAATATTTATAATTTCATTTCTGTTATCGAAAAGTTGCTTACACCGATTTCCTGAGATAATTCGAATATTTCGTTGTATCATAGTAACTTCGCCCCATACCGGTCGTATTAGAAACTTGAAAATACTTTCAATCAATGTCTCATCGCCCATTGTGTCGATAGATTTTTTTCCAGAGCTGTAAGTTTTATGATTTCCATGATATCGTACCTCGACACCCTGTAGATGTGATATATATCCGGCAAAAAGGTACTCACTTTCTTTCCGTAGGAAAAAAGTAATTAATGAAGAGTGACATTTTATAACTGTCAAATATATGAAATTTCAAACTTTTTTCCTGTCACAGAAAAAACATATTAAACTCCATATTCGATTAAGGATGAGAATTTCACAAAATATGAAAAGAGGGAAAGAAAGCTTCTCCACTTTGATCAATGTATCGACTCCTATAAAAAATTAACAAATTATTTGTGAACGATTGCTAATGAGCTAAGCAAGTTTGATCAAATTCTAATTTGAAACAAATTTCAAATTCGCCTAGTTATGGATATGGCTATAGTGAAAATAACATCGAAACACCCAGAGCCTATACAGGGTGTAAATTTGAAAACTTTCAATGCGAATATCTCGCGAAAGGAAAAAGTTATAAAAACGCCGTTTGGCAAAAATGCTGAAGAGTTAAGGGGAACTAGAACCACCATATTTCGGTCAAGGGATGAGTCACCCCGTCGGCGCGACACGCCCCAACTTTGAAATGTCAAATGGCACTACCTTTTTTGTGATGCCTCAAATGAACAGTCTCAGTCAGTAGTATTCACCTGTACAAGACTTTTTTTCCACCCACTACAGGGTGTACGAAAAATATAAAGTCGAATAAAATGAAAAGAATTGTGTTAAAAGGATATTTTATTTGATCAGATGTTCAAAATGCATTCCATTCTGTTATAAGCATAAGTATAATCGATGTTCAAATGCCATTCTAACATTTTGGAACACATCTCTTGGAATATATCGGCATTCTGCATTTTATTTTATTCGACTTTATGTTTTCCGTTCACCCTGTAGTGGGTGGAAAATAGGTCTTGTACAGGTGAATACTACTGACTGAGACCGTTCATTTGAGGTATCAAAAAAGAGGTAGTGCCATTTGACATTTCAAAGATGGAGTGTGTCGCGCCGACGGGGTGACTCATCCCTTTACTACTGAAGTATGGTGGTTGTAGTTCCCCCTTACTCTGTAGCATTTGTGCCAAACGGCGTTTTCCTAACTGTTTTATTTAGCGAGATATTCGCATTGGAAATTTTCAAATTTAGACCCTCGAATTAATGTTTTTCGTACACCCTGTAGTGGGTGGAAGAAAAGTCTTGTACAGGTGAATACTACTGACTGAGACCGTTCATTTGAGGTATCACAAAAGAGGTTGTGCCATTTGACATTTCAAAGTTGGGGTTTGTTGCGCTGACAGGGTGACTCATCCCTTCACTGAAATATGGTGGTTCTAGTTCCCCTTAACTCTTTAGCATTTTTGCCAAGCGGCGTTTTTCTAACTTTTTTATTTCGCGAGATATTCGCGTTGAAAATTTTCAAATTTACACCCTGTATATGTTTAAGTAGGTACCTGTTGAATGCTGTGAAGTTTTTTCTTTCAGTTCAATATACCAACCATATAGAGGTAGGTAGATATGTATTTTTCCTTTAAGGATTTTCCTTCTACAATAATAACTATTCTCCGAGTTATATTCATCTTTTCTGACGTAGCTAGAAATGCAACTATCATATTCTGATGCATGTATAGAAATTAAATATGATTAATTAATTATTTATTTTTTTACAGTTTCAAGAAATTTCCCATCATTATACGGAAAATATTACAACATTGTTTGAAACAGTAACCTTGCGATGATATAAACATATTTAATATAAACATTTTCTCAGATTAACGGGATAACACTCCACGAAATAAGATGCAACATTTCATAATGTTATTTTTTATCTTCAGGGACTCACATTTAAGGGGTTGTTACGAAAGCTCTGAAGGGCCATGGTGAGATATTTTTTTAAAAAAATATCTCCCACATTTTTATGTCCCTTCGGGGCTGCTAAAGTAAAATGTGAAATAATTTTAAAAAAATATCTCCTATGTCCCTTCAGAGCCGCTTATAAAAATCATAGAGATATTTTTTCCGGCTGCTGTGTTGCCAAGTATATTTTATTGTTCGTGCAGTCAAGAATAGTGACTGCGTTTGCGCCAGATCACGTGATCAAGATGTGACCAATAAGGACAAGGGCTGTGGATTTGTGATTTTAACAAATCCCACTTTCATAGAGATAGAGAAAAAGAACCCTCCCCTCTTTGGTGTGTACTGTGTGGTGTGTAAAATGACCATAGATGAAAGATGAAATGAAATACCTTATTTCTACATATTAGGTTGTCATGTACTGAAGTTCTGAACTTTCGACAACGTTACTCAATTTTGCATGATATCTTTTATAAATTGATATCATGGTAGAAGTGAAGCAGTTAATCAAACGATACTTTCAGGTAGGATTCAATCTTTCCGAAATAAAAGCATTTTTGATGTTACGACATGACATTCTGATCAGTGAAAGGCAGTTGAAAAGGTACTTGAAACAACTTAATTTGTATCGAAGGAAAAATTACACAGACCTAACAATTATATCAGACTTCATTGACCAACAAATACTTGGTTCAGGTAGTCTGCATGGATATCAATGGATGCACCTGAAATGTTTACAAAATGGTTTGGTAGTCAAAATGAACACTGTGAGGCGTCTCTTGAAGGAAAAAACCCAGGAGTTGAACTGCGTTCGAGAAATAGGCTGAGACGAAGGGCATATAATAAAGGACCAAATT